GGGGTGAGGGGGACGGCGCGGGCGCCGAGCTGGCCTGGCGTGCGGGCCCCCGGGACCCCAGCCGGTGGCGCTTTGCCCGCCGACTGTGGAGTAGAGGCGGGTCGTACTCCCCTGGGAGCGCCGCTGGGGCGCCGAGTGCCGCGTGTCGGGAACGGAGCGGGGCGACGAGGGCGCCGTCCTCTGCGTGGCCAGGCTTCGCGGAGGTGGCGGAGCGAAGGTGTTAACCGGCACAGCCCGTTCGACGTTTCAGGTTTACTGCGAACATTGTTTGGGGAGGAGAAAAAGGGAAATGGAACGACCATTACTCACCGATGGCGGGTGGGCTGGGATGCGCCCGACCCCCGCGTGCACAGGCCGCCCGAGCGGGGACGGCGCCCGGGGTGGACTCCCGAAAGGAGCCGGGCTCGCGTGCACCTGCCCTTCCTCAGTGTTTGAACTCACCGTCACCTGAAAGACTGTTTTTTAAACCGTAAAGATCCTTGAAATAACGCAGTGCGTACGATTTGGATGTGTTCTTCCCGGTGGTCTGTACTGAAGTGATCCGGGAAACAGCATACCCTTCCCTGGTGATTAGTTGAAACAGGGCAGCTGGAAATGACGGAGGGCATCTTGGAAGGAATGAATCTCTGCCGATTTGGTGAAAATGAAAGCATTGCAAAATATTAAACGGTACTTGTTGCCGTAACCATTTAGAAATCTACTTCCTAAATACCATTTCTCAGTTTTAAAATTTTATGTGAATTGAAATTCTTGCGGGCACCTGGATGGCTCAGTCGGTTCCACGCCTGCGTTCTGCTCAGGTCGCGATTCCCAGGTCCTGGGATCCAGCCCTGTGTCAGGCTCGCGGCTCAGCTGGGTGTCTGCTTCTCTCGCTGCCTCCCCCCCACTCGTGCTCGCGCTCTCCTTCCCTCTCTCTCTCTCTCAGATAAGTGGATAACATCTTAAAAAAGAAATTTTTGTTTTGCTTAAATCATCTCAGGTGTTTGTATATCACTGAAATCTCAGCTGGTCTGTACAGTGGGGGTATTCATACCCGTTTGTAAAATACTTGAGTCTAGCATATGATAGTCTTTAATAAACTGCAGCTTCTGTTATCTGCAGATAAGTAACTGCAGGAGCAGGACACCTCGTGATAACAGCAACAGCTCTTCACTGAGCACTGATTGTTTTGTTGATGTACAACCGATGTTCATTACATTGTCTAGAATCATGTTAGTTAGGATTTGAACCTGGTCTTTAAAGTTTTTCCTCAAACAGTGCACCTTGCAACTTGGGTTATTTCATGCAGACATGTAACCTAAGAGAGGGGTAGCAGCATTTACGTTTGCTTCAGGTTTATGTCCTTATGCTACTAGGCAGTGCGTTCGTAGAGAGCTGAGCATCTGAATAGGAGGTTATTGTGGATACTGTAAAATTACTATTTATATTAATATGCTTTTATTTTTAAATGTTTTTGTATTTTTGTTTGATCTTCCCAGTATCCCAGGGTATTAGTTATTTCTATTTTATTTTGTTTTATTTTTAAAATATTTTTAGAAGATTTTATTTATTAATTTGACAGAGTGTGAGCACAAGCAGGGGGAGCAGCAGGCAGAGGGAGAGGGAGAAGCAGGCTTCCTGCTGGGCGGAGAGCCCAGTGTGGGGCTCCATCCCAGGACCCTGACCTGGGCGGAAGGCAGACACTCTACTGAGCCACCCAGGCACCCCTAGTTATTATTGCTCTTTTACACCATGGAAGTTAAGATTGTATATTTAAATTACTCTTCAAAACCATGTTAGTAGTAATGGAATTTAAATTGTGTGGGTATACCTTTTTTCCTTTTTTTTTAAACTGTTAGAGTATAATTAATACACAATAGTATATTAGTTTCAGGTGTTATCTTTTTTGCATAGGTCAGTTCATACTGTTAAAAAATTTGGTAACATTTAAATTTTAAAAAATATAATATTGTGAGCATTTTCCCATGTCATTAAAATTCTTTGAAATATGATTTTTAATGGCTTGATAATATTTTGTTATAGGACCATTAAAAAAGCTATAGTGTGGTTGAAGAATTGATTCTTCCTGTTATTTGGCTATGTGAGATAATGGGAAGGTGTCTTTACTCCTTAGGATAGATACTTGACAGTGTGTAAGAAATTTCTGAAAGTTTCCAATTTAATTTTTACCAGTAGGATATGGAACTGCTTGGCTCGTTTCATCTTTTTTTTAATCATGGAATATTATTATTTAAAAAGTCCTTTTTCAGTTTAGTTAAAAGTGGTATCCCAGCTTTTAAAAAAAAAAAATGAGGCATTACTTACATACCATAATAAGATGCACAGATTTTGATAGCTAGGTGTGATAAATTTTAACAGTTGTACATACACAAGTAACCACCATTCAAAACAATATAGAGCCCCAGAATGTTCTTTAGCTCCTTTCCCATAATCCCCGCCACTGATCCACTCTCTGTCACTATAGGTTAGTTTTGCCTGTTCTTTGTACTTTATGTAAATGGAGTTACACAGCTCGTGGTCTTGTATGTCTGGGTTGTTTTCTTCATCATCATGTTTTCAAGATGCACATTGTTGCATGCATCTATGGTTGGTTTCGTTTTATTGCCCATTAGTATTCTGTTGTATAAATATACAACAGTTTCTCCAATTTGTAGACATTTGGGTTATTTCCAGTTTTTGGCTGTTGTGTCTGAGGCTGTGAACATTCTTATTTATTTATTTATTTATTTATTTAATGTTTTGTTTATTTGAGAGAGGAAGAGAGAGCATGAGCAGGGGGAGGGTCAGAGGGTGAAGCCGACTCCCCTCTGAGCAGGAGCCTGATGCAGGAGTCCATCCTGGGACTCCGGGATCATGGTCTGAGCTGAAGGCAGTTGCTTAACCAGTTGAGCCACCCAGGCGCCCCTGCTGTGAATATTCTTGTGCAGGTCCTTTTGTGGGACCTGTAGGTCTTGGGGCTTCGCCAGCATCCTTTGCACATGGCAGAGGATGTTATTTGGCTATGTAAGATAATGGGAAGGTGGCCAGAGCTCAGCTCCAGGGCCCCAACAGCTGCAGGGATGACTGAGCAGTGTCGTCAGTCTGTGTGCCCAGGAGCAGAGGGACACAGCATAGTCTCTGCCATAGACCCTGAGGCCCACCTACCCACACATTGAAGCTTCTGAGTTCTGCTGGACACCAATGAGAACCCATTGATTAGGGACCCACAGTATGTCCTTTCCAGCCTTAGGTGGGTCTTTCCTGCTTTCCTCTTGGGTGCCCCCGGGCTGCTCTCCCTTCTTCCTCAACTGCTGTCTGTGACTGCAGTCCTCCATTTTCCTTTGTTTCAGCAAATGACCTTGCTTCCTGCCTGGGAAAACGGGACTTCCAGGAGCATCTCCCCCACTCTCCTTCTATTCTCCGCTCCCCCGACATCTGACATCCCATTCTTGATTCCTTCACTCCTGACCCAGAGGAGGCTGTCCCTTCCCTCATGGTGAATTCTCTGCTCTTAGATTTCCCCTCCTGCCGCCCCCAAAGACCTTTGCATCCTCAGCCTCTCTTGTGTCTTTATCCTTTCCCTCTCCACTTGCACTACTCTCTATGAAACAAACGTAAAGATTTTCTTGTATTAAAAAGAGCGCAAATCCCTTGATCCTGTCTTTCCCTCTGCCAGGACTCTCTGTTTACAGCCAGATCTCTTCAAGTGTAGATTTCTAGCAGCCTACAGCCTCATCTTAGGTTCGGTCCCCGCATGCTGCCCTCTGACTCAGGCAGAAGAATCTGCCCTGCAGCATTGCTGGGGCCCTTCCAGCTGCATTGGATGGTTGTCACTCCTTCCTTCTTGACATCTTTCTCTTGACTTCTGGGAGGCCCTTTAACCTTGCTGTGCTTTTTAGGTTCCATTTTCTGGTCTACTGCCTGGGTTCCTTTTCCTCCGTCTGTCCTAACTTACTGTCGATGAGCCCAGAGGCTCTGACCTCTGTCTTTTATCCTGTAGCGTAGGAGAGCTTGGTGCCAGCTCCATTTCTTGGATTCCCAAATCTGTCTGCAGATGAAGCACAGACTTCTTTCCTGAGCTCCAGACCATCACTAACAGCCCCCACCCCCCTCAGGCTTCCTTTCCTCTCAGGTTAGCAGCTTCAATACATGATGCGTGGCTCATGCCACCACTAGTCATCAGTCACTGAGCCAGAAACTTGGAGTTGGCTCTAGACCATGCTTCCAGGGTCACCAAATCCTGCCCCTCCTACCTCTGAAGTCCTCCCTTGGCTGCTCGCCAGTGCTGGGTGGGAGCTGTACTGTTTGCCTGGTTTTACAGTTCGCCACTCCTTTCCTTGCCCACAGGTTAGTTGTCCTTAGTTCCTTTCTCTATGTGACATATTTTTCAGTGTGTTTCCTTCCTGATTTTTCAGATTTTTTTGGTTGGGGATAATTATAGTTTGTACTTAGACTCCTATAGAAGGGTTTTTCAGTTTAAAATGAAGATAGACTTAAAAGATATCTTAGCCAAGACCATTTTATATGAAAATAGTTGATAAGTACCTACTGAGATGCCTAAGAACTTAGTAATTTATTAATCCACTGTTCTAGTTCATACCATCAATTTTTAGAAAATCTTTTGTGGTAGAATATAAAAAAAGCCTGTCTTTGTGAAAATCAGTTCCATTTTTTCCCTTGTTTTCTGCCTGCGTGCCTTCCATTTTCAACATTTTATTCCTGTTCCTATGGTCACAGTTAGAGCCCAGCATCACAGTACTGTGCTTAAAAAGTGAATACCCCATAGTACCTATGTATCTGTAGCCATTTGTCACAGACCTGGTGCCTTGGCTGCAGAAATCTAGTTTCCACCTTTCCTAAGGGTCTGAAAACATAATTGATTTATATGACTGTTAGTTGAGATGGATGAATATTTAGAACCACTTCATATGAGCTAAGTCTTCATTCAAGAAATATCATTAACTTGAAAACTCACCCAAAAGATTACCAAGACCTTGTAGTAAGCCTTATATTTCAGTCTGTGTTTAATACGATAGAATTCTAGCAGTAGAAAAACAATTCAGGCAGTTCTTGTAAAGGTTGTTTTGGTAATAGAGTTTAATCTATGTCAGTATTTCCTTATTTCTAAAGATACTGTAACTTTAAAAGATTGCATTTTGATGATTTCCAGGTCCCTCCTTGTGGTCCATTTTTGGGCGCCGTGGGCTCCACAGTGTGCTCAGATGAACGACGTGATGGCAGAATTAGCCAAAGAACAGCCTCAAGTTTCGTTTGTGAAGGTATTATATTTTTGGTGTCACGTCTTTTATGAGGCAGACTGCATTTTATTAACATAAGGGAGGAAGGATTTGGAATTCCACATGTTTATAATTGGTGTTATTTTTTATTATTTTTGCAGTAGATTCTTAAAAAACTTAAAATTGTTTTGCATTTCTCAAGTATGAAATACTGTGACAATAACTACACTTTCCCTAACATGTGTGGTGGGAGGACAGAACCTGCAAATTGCAGGATGGGTAGTGGGGATGTTCGCCAGCAGAAGCAACTAGATCACTCACTGTGGATCATCGTGTTTTGAATATAGTAAAAATATTAACAAAGCTTGCTTCATTGAAGAGCAAGGTGTGATAGGGAAAGCGACTGAAGAAAGGGTGTGTGGAGGCTGCTAGGAACCAGGGGAACAGGAAGAAGCAGCTGTCTTGGATCACGTAAATCCAGACCTATAGGAGAAACTGAAAGCTTTTCTGACCTGTTTAGGAAGCAGAGGAGAAAGGAATCGAGCATCTCCCTGCCTTGCCTTGTTTCCACCCGGCTGTGCACACTCTACGTTCCTAGTTTGTCTCTTGGGTGGGCACGTACTGGGAAGGTGGTAGTTGAGGCTGTAGATTAGCTCACTTGGTTTAGCACATTTAATGCTGTCAATTAGGACTTAGTCTTGGTTGAGGCAACAAAGCCCAAATAGGAGTCAAGAATCTTAGAAATGAATTTTTGGGAAGGGAGGCACACCCTGTATTCAAAAACTTGAAATCCTTAGGATTTAAAGAAACAAAAAGTACCAAATCCTTATTTTTTAAAACTATAATTAGTGAGTTCAGAGCACATTTTGGCAAATATACCCATTTATGGGGCTAAAAGTGGTATCTTCTGTACTTTCCACTTTTTATGTAACCTGAAAACAGAATTCTGACAGGCTAATTCATCTGTGTAATAGGCGATGTAATTTTCAGGCAATTTCTATATAGGTAAGTGTGCTTTGAATAGGTATTGCAGTTAGATATCTCAAAATCAGAACAGGGTAAAGGGTGTACAGTGAGAATGCTCCCCCCCCCCCACCTTCCCTGCCAGCCCTGGTGTCCCACCCTGTAAAGAAGGGACTGTTTATGTTAATTTTGCATGATTCATTTCAGTGTTTTTTTTTTTTTATGAAGATAGAGCAAATATAGATGTAATAGTTAGCTTTTTAAAATTTAAGGACTCACTTAAAATTCCAATGAAATGTGTAATGTAACCTTAGAATGTAACCCTAAAATGTCCAATATAAATAATAGAAGGAGACATTGAAACTGCATGTTTGGTCACTGATAAAAGATAATGATTACCAGTGAAATGAATGATTAAACATTTCAATCCTAAGATTAGTCAAGATGATGGTAATTGTTGCATGTCTGCTTTTATGTGTATAATGTTTCTGGTTTAGATAACACATTGTTCTTAGCTGCCATCTGAATGATTTATTTAAAGCAACTATAGAATTACTTCTCACATTGGTACCACAGTTGGCAGTGAGATTTTAAATTGTTCAAGTGCTTAAGTGTCTGAGTAAGCCAGGGGTTGGGAAGTCCTTATCTGTCGGGGACACCTGAACCTGAGTGCACCTGCTGTTCGTGGAAGGCTGACAGCATGAAGTGGGTAGTTCTTCCAGGAGGCATTGCTTTCTGGAAATTGACTCTGTGGAGTGGTTTTTCTTTTCTTTTTTTTTTTTTTTTTAAGGATTTTATTTATTTTAGAGAGCATGTGAGTGGAGGGAAGCTGCAGAGGAGGAGAGAAAGGGAGGGGGAAAGAATCTCAAAATCTCAAACAGACTCTGCACTGAGCTTGGAGCCTGACACGGGACTTGATCTCACAACCCTGAGATCATGACCTGAGCTGAAGCCAAGAGGCGGATGCTTAAGTGACTGAGCCACCCAGGCGCCCCTGCAGTGTTTCTTTTAAGTGGCAAAGATAATTTGCATGGAGTTTGTAAGGTAGGTAATTTAAATGATGAGTAAATAAGTAAAACATTTGAGAGATCTGTTGGCATGCCCCAGTAAGAGAGGTTGCAGTTCGTTTAAAGAGAGCTTTCTTTTGTTAATGAGAGCTTTTGAGCCATCTAGGGTAGGGAACTGATGTCCTGCCACCTCTGTGTCTTTTAATTTGATTTCTTAGTTTTTTTCTTTTTAAAGATATTTATTAGAGAGAGAGCATGCACGCACGAGCTGGGGGCGGAGCATGAGGAGAGGGAGAAGCAGACTGCGCGGAGCAGGGAGCCCGACACGGGACTCGATCCCAGGACCCTGAGACCATGACCTGAGCCGAAGGCAGCCGCCTAACTGAGTGAGCCACCGAGGCGCCCCTGGTCTGGCATTTTTGACTTGTGAATTACAGAGATCAGTTGATTCTATAATTTAAATTTACAAAATCATTATGTAGGTGATCTTAAACCTGATGTTTTTAAGAGTTTGTAAAGGTTTGTGACCATAAACAATTTCTTATTCTGTAGATGATGGAGAAGCAATACCTGAGAACAGGGAGCATAGGTTTGGCCCGAGTAGTTCCTGCTCGTTGGGACAGGTTGCTGACAGGCAGGGCTCTCAGGTTCATTGCAGCCGGATGAGCACGCTCCGGCCTGCACTGACGATGTAGTGACAGAGTGCGCGCGTGCTTCTTGGCACCACGTCTATGCCTGTGCCTGCAGGGTGGCCCTCTCCTGCGCTGGCCACCCTGTCTAGACCTGCGTGAGGCTCTGGGCCCCACGCGGAGGTTTGCCTGCCTCCAAGGGCTTGGGGGAGATACACAAGTTATCCTTATTGCTAAAAGTCTTATTGAAAACTTAACATTTGTTCAGAATAAAATTAAATGGCTAATTAAAATGTTACATGCCCTTTTCAGATTACATTAAGTCAGTTTGTTAACACTTTATCTTTAACTAAAATGGGAAAACACATTTATCATTTAATCACTTGTTTGAGAGATAGAATCTTTCAAGGTCTAGTGTCTGGTGGCAAGGTAGGGAGGAGGAAGAGGAGCACAGGACTCTTTGTGGTGGGAAGTTGGGGACCGTCAGTTCTGTTCGAGGTCCAGATCAAACTCATTTTTTTATAGGAGTGGCCGTCCATTTTTACGTTACATTTGATTTTATTCTGATTTGACTATTGAAATTTTTATCCAGTTTGTTTTTTATTATTAAATTTATTATTTACTTTTCTTCAAATGGAGGTTGTAATTTTAGGCATACAACATGATGATTCAATTCAAATCCATTTTATATGAAGTCTCCTGTGTACTCCTGTGGCTTTTTTTTTCTTTCATCTCCAAACTTTGTGCCATTGATTCAACTTTTAGAGAATATCTTGTATTTTTGTCTGTTCTGTCATTTAATTTCCTGTTTTGATTGGTTGTTTTTTTTTCTTTTTTTTTTTTAAAGAGAGAGAGAGCACTTGGGGGGGCAGAGGGAGAGGGAGAGAGAGAATCCCAAGCCGATTCCATGTCCAGCATGGAGCCCAACGTGGGGCTTGATCTCACAACCCTGAGATTGTGATGTGAGCCAAAATCAAGAGTGGGACACCCAACCAACTGACCTACTCAGGCGCCCCTTGATTGGCTTCTTGACTAGACGGTGGGATACTTGAAATAGGGACCTTGACCGTACCTTGTTTTCATTTTTTTTATGGCTTTCCTTTGTGTAGGTGGCTCCCACCCTCTATGTCAGCCTCCACCACCCCTCTTTCAGCTTGGTATTCTGATCCAGTTAGGCTGTGGTAATCATTTTACCTTATAATGCACTTTAGTACATAAATTCTCAAAGTCAGGCTTATCGGGCCACCTGGTTGGTGAGGTGTGTACCACTGTGTTTTCATTTTGTAGTGATCTTGTTTGTATAGTACCTGCTGTACTTGCATTTTATTATGTCCATTGTAACTTCAGGTATGAAGGCAAAGGTGTAGAAGGAGTTATATATTTAAATTTGTATTTTTTGATTCTCAAAAAATAGGAATTGTTTTAGTTTGATTTATTCTTGAATGTGTAAGCATCTTAAAATACAGTTCATAGTATTTAATTTCTAAGGGTCTATATAATCAGTATAGATAATTTCTATATGGTTATAGAAATGTCTCATTCTAAATGTCTGTACAATTCGCTTGTGAAAACAGACAATGCAGGGCAATCTCCAGAAGGGAACGACCAGCTGTGTAGCTAGGTACCTGGCATGATACTAATGATAGTAATAATGGCACTTAAAGAGAACGTGTGTAGGATTCCATTTTGGGGGAGCTCTATAAATGCTTCTCAGATAATTCAAGTAGAAGCTAAATCTTAAAAATATCCTAGTTTTTATTTATGCTGTCTTGATAATAAAAAAATACTAATAATTAACAAAGTTTATTAGCCATTCCTGGGCTAAGTTTGGCAAAGGTCTTTTAAAAAGCTACCAAAAACATTAAATACCTATTTGGATAAAGAATTTGATTATGAAAAATTTTCCTTTTAGATCATGTCACAGAGTTAGAAGGAAGCCTCTTAATGAAGTTTAACAAGATGTCTCTGAATGTAAGGTTTAATTGTTCTCAGGGCCACCCTGGCCAGTGGTCATTCCCATGGTAGGCTTAGCAGTAGTGACCAGCATTTGTTCAGTATTGTGTCAGAATCTATCTATCTAACATTTATATGCCACCATTATGCTAGTCACTGGGGGTATGGAACAGTAGGGTCATCGAGTCACATATTACCAAGGTAATTGCACATCGTAGTAAGTTCTGAAAAGAAAGAAATAGGTGGTAGAAGAGGACTTGGCGGCGGGTGGTACTTTATTCGGGTTGGGCTGGAGAGGTGTGTCTGGTCAGGGAAGGCTGGAAAGTGAAAAGGAATTGTCATTGGGAGAGCTGGGGATGAACTTTTAGGCTGTGGATCAGCAAGTGAACACTGCCGGAGGGCTAGCAGAAGGCCAGTGGAGCTAGTGAAGGAGGAGAGGTTCTGGCAAGAGGTTGGAGAGGGAGGCAACAGCCGGATGACCTTGTGGGCACTGGAAGAGTTTGGGTATTATTACTGTTTTTTTAAGATTTTGTTTATTTATTTGACAGAGATCACAAGTAGGCAGACAGGCAGGCAGAGAGGGAGAAGCAGGCTCCCTGCTGAGCAGGGAGCCCGATGTGGGGCTCTGGGATCCTGACATGAGCCGAAGGCTCAGCCAGTTGGCTCAGCCAACTGAGCCACCCAGGTGCCCCGAGTTTGGGTATTATTTGAGTGCAGTGGAAGTGACACACAATTGGATTTCTCTTGTTGAGTTGATTCCTCCAGCTGTCCTGTGGGGAGTGGTTTGAAGTGGGGGGGGAGAAAGGATGCAGACTAGAAGCAAGTATACTCATTAGGAGGCTATTTCACAGGCCAGGTTAGAGATGCCTTGGACTCTAGTGGAGAGGGAGCATCGAGATGATGCCATCGTCTGATTTGGCTTATATTTTGGAGGGGGAACCTGGAGGACCTGTTGATGGAGTGGATGTCCGGTGAGGGAAATGAATTAATCAAAATTGTCTCCTTTTTGATCTGATCCTCTGGATGGATTATAGAGATCAAGATGCCCTGGGGAGGAACAGGTTTAGTGGGAGATACCTAGTAGAGATCGGAGTGCAGGTGTTGAGTGTGTAGCTTGGAGGTGATGGGGGGAAGGTCTGGCATGGATATTAACTCGGGCATTGTGGCCGTATTGGTGTTACTTAGAGCCACAGGGTTGGATGAGACCACTCAGGGAGGATGAGCATAAATAAGAGAAGTGCACTCAGCATCAAGTCCTGGGATGTGCCAGCCATGTAGAGATTGGCCAGATGTGAAGTAAGACGCCAGAGAGACTGAGTCTCAGAATTGAGGAAAAAGAAAAATCGGGAGGCCAAGTGAAGGCTTGTTGAGAAGGTGGTATGTCGAGAAGGTGGTATCTCGAGAAGGTGGGTGTGGTCACACTGATGATACTGAAAGGTCGGTAAAATGAGCAAAGAGGGGTAGCCATTGGATTTGCTGAAATGGCAGCGTGGTAGTGTAGAGTGCAGCTTGGAGCCACACTGCCCTGCTCCACCAGTGTTGTAATCTTGGCTGACTTACCTAACCTCGTTAAGTTCCAGTTTCTCCTGAAGTCAGGTGTGATAACAGCATCCATTATCGGGCAGATTAAATGAGTCAGTACACAAAATGCACTTAGAACAGTGTCTGGCCTAGGGCACCTGGGTGGCTCAGTTGGTTAAGCGACTGCCTTCGGCTCAGGTCATGATCCTGGAGTCCTGGGATCGAGTCTCACATCGGGCTCCCTGCTCAGCAGGGGGTCTGCTTCTCCCTCTGACCCTCTTCCCTCTCATGCTCTCTGTCTCTCATTCTCTCTCTCACAAATAAATAAATAAAATCTTAAAAAAAAAAAAAACAGTGTCTGGCCTAGATTAATCATAACTGTTAGCCATTACTGTCGTAGTGGTCTTTGGTGACCCTGGAGAGAGTGAATTCCCTACCTCTGGATTTACCTTGCTGTGGTAACACTTCCCTGCCTCTCTTCGCCCCACTCCACAGACATGCAGCACACTTCAGGGGAAGGGTCTGACTTCGAGAGTCATGGCTCAGCAAGCAAGTGGTTCCCACCAAAGGCATTCATTCTGTCTGAGATTCCATTCTGGAAATGTTCATGTTTGGTGGTTGCTAAAGTCATGTATAAATCCTATCTTTGAAATTTAATCTTTCTTTTTGATTGATACAGTAGAAAAAGTATACCACAGTATAGTGAAAAAACAGGTTTTATAGTCAAACAAATTTGGGTTTGTTTCTCAGCTCTACTACTTATTAACTATGTATCTTTGGACAAGTTACATCTTTACTTAGCCACCTGTAAGTTTGAGTTGATTATATACTACCCACCTTTCCAGGTTTTAAGTAGTTTAGGCCATTGTCTGCAAAGGGCCTGTCATGGTTTGTGGCACAGGGTAGGCTTTCCATGAAAGATCGCTCTTACTGATCATCTTTGGTCTTTTCTGAATGCAGATCGGTTTTCAGTATTTTCTATTTTTATTGATAGTACTGTCATGTTGTTTTACATCCAATAAAAATGTTCCCAAAGAATTTCAATGTGCAAAGGTTTTAGGACTCAGATACCCTTGTTCTGGGGGAATGGGTTTGCCTTCAGTGGCGCTCCTGGCCAGTGCTCGGGAGGATTTGTCTGTCAACCACTGCCTTTGTCTTACTAAGATCTCGTCTTCCTGGGAGCTGTTTTGCGAGAGGTGCATGTGGTGATCTTCCAGGCTTTAGGAATTTCAAGAGGATTGTTTGCTTCCTGGAAGAGTTGTCATTAAGGGAGACTGTTGGAAACCAGCAGGAACATGAGAAGAGGTCAACTTTTGGCCACACAGAGGACTGTGTTTTTGAGTCCGGACGCTTCCTGGTTTGGCTTAAGACTATTATCTTGTAGGTTTTTTTTTTTTTCTTTCTTAGTATTGCCCCTTTTTAAAATTTGTCTTATTTTGCTGTTAGAATCCAGTAGTACCAAAGATAGGGATCGTAACTGAGCCTAACCCAATGCCCACGTGTGGTGGGCACTTGAGAGATTATTTGAAAGAGAGAAAATAATGAACTGCTTTAATCATTGCCCTTTCTGTTCCTCTTTGGTCTGAGTGTGCAATTGTATGAAAGAAAGCAGCACAAAAGTTTTAAAAACTTTTAAAAAGTGTGTCCTAAATAGCTCTCTCCAAATGCTTTTTCTTTTCCTCATTTTTTTCAGGTTTATTGGACAGTTGGTGTTGATTTAAAATGTATATGATTTTCACCTAGTACATTTTGAAAAATGAAAGTAATTGTTTCAAAAGGGTGTTTTAAAGAAAAAAAAAAATAAAGTAGGAAAAGAGCACCCAAGAAATACATGAGATGGAAGATACAAACTAAAGACAAATGACTCTGCCTCCCACTTACCATCAAGGTTCATTTGGATAGATATATACCGGATCGGGGAAAGCGCTAGATAAAAATAGTGTTTCAAGCCCAGTGGTAATCTTTCATTCCTGGAAAAATACAGGATATATATTTTTAAATCTTTTAACAATATAATTTATCAATAAATTTTATTTCCTACAGGTATAATGTGAATACAGATTTTTATTGGTTTTAAAAAGTTTATATTAAATTGACAGTCCTATGAGGGAAGGATATAATATTACGTCTCGGTTTTTCTCAAAGTGTACGGTTTACAAAGTCCTACATAAATAGCTTACAGGAGTTGTGTTCTAATTATTTAGAAATTGAGTTATTAAATACGTTTAAAATTCGTATGTCAGCACATCATATCTGGTTGAGGGGCCTCAAGGAAATTATCAAGCAGAATGCAGTCATCTTATTTAAAATGCATTTAAATGTATGAATAGACCCAGGAGCAAATAACCTAGCAAGATATCTGCTTAGTGTCCAGCGGCCTTGCAGGAGTTAACGGTAAAATTTATCAGACATCAATAGTTTATTGAAGAAATACTCCTTTTTGCTTCATAATTTGCAGAAGGCTACAACTGTCAGTCATGATGTACTGCCTCTTGAAATTAGTCAATAGAGCAAACAGCAAGAATTGCTGTGGGCAGAAAATAAACACTGTAATCATGACATAACTGGGGTCAGTGATTTATGGATTTCAATATAGTAGTAGCTGCATATGATTGAAAATTTACTAGGTCACTAGTGCACCAAAAATTTTATTCACAGCCTCCAGGCATCTTTTGAAATGTGCAACAAAATAAAAACCTCTGAACCTGTTTTGACACTGCAGACTCAGTGGATGACACGCCAGCCCAGTGAGTCTCATTTAAATGTAAATGTGTCATAAACTTTTGTACCATACTTCTTAAAAACATCAACTACTTGAAGGGATGATGCATGTGAAGCTGATTTACATATTGAAGTAGTAAGAAAGGACCTTTTTATAATCAAGCTTTAAATTCTTTTATCTTAAAGTTGGAAGCTGAAGCCGTTCCTGAAGTATCTGAAAAATATGAAATTAGTTCTGTTCCCACCTTTCTGTTTTTCAAGGTAAGGATAAAGATGGCCCAAGAGATCCTGCTTCTGTCGTGGGCCATGGGGCTCTGTCTTGGTTCCTTTACCCTCTCCCCGATCCCTGAACATTTGGCACTTGGTTGTCCCGGCTTTGCCCTGTCTTCTCGTAGTCTCCTTGTTTGCACTGATGCCGCAGCTTGGCCTGGGGATCCTGCAGAAGTGTCATGGGCAATCAGAGTTGGGGCTTCTAGACAATAATCCGGATACTTGGTTATAGACCCAAAATGTTCCCTGAGTGGGGTAAAAGTTGATTGCTTAGGGCATGTGCCTGGGTGTAATGGAACATGTGGCTGGTCCTGGTTTGATTAATGACTCTCTTAGGAAGCAGGTGCAGATCTGTGCTTTAGGGCACCCCTGAGTGTTACCACAGTTCCCCACCAATACCGCATTTATACTTAGTAATAGATTCATCCCCATGAGGGTGGGGAAATCTTTTCTTTTTTTGGTTAGACGCTGATCTGGTTTGAGTTTGAGGTATAGCAATGTTTTCCTAGTGTGTTCCCAAAAAGGGAAACAAAGAAGACCATTACGTATTTCTAAAATTGAGATGCGTCGGGCAATTGGTAATCAGATTTTTAAAAACATATCTTATAATAGTGTTGACCCCTTTACAAATTGGCCAGAGCTGTGAGTTCATACTTGTTAAAATTTTGGATCTTAAAAGGGATGATGAAAGAATGCCACACATATTCTAAACAACTTTTTTAACTTCAGAATTCTCAGAAAATTGACCGATTAGATGGTGCACATGCCCCAGAGTTGACCAAAAAAGTTCAGCGCCATGCATCTAGCGGCTCCTTCCCACCCAGTGGTAACGAGCATCCTAAAGAAGATCTCAACCTTCGCCTGAAGAAATTAACTCATGCTGCCCCTTGCATGTTGTTTATGAAAGGAACTCCTCAGGAGCCGCGCTGCGGTAAGAAGCTGCTTTGACAAGGACGCAGACAGAACGGGTGCTTCACCAGTGTGGGGTGCAACTAGGTGCCCATCTCTGTTCCTGCTGTCCGTTCCTCTTACACTTGTGTTGAGATACCTTTAGAAAATCAGGAAGGTCCTAAGTCCCACTGGCATTCTGTCGTGAGGTGATGAGAATTAGGTTGCACCACACACACAGAGAATGTTGGAACCCAGAGGCATCTTAGAAATCATCTGAAGATTTTTGTTTTATATACATAAGTACCCAAAGAGGGGGAGTCTGCTCAGGTCACCTCGGAGTGGAGTTGGGATTAGGTTCCAGCCATCACATTGCTGTCACCTGAATGGGCTTTTGTCTGCTCAGTTCATTTTGCTGTTAACAGTTTCCTGTCTTTCTTGGCAGTCTCTCTTGATTCATGTAGTCCAGATTCAGCAGTTTAAAAATTTACAGAATTTTGGTGGCGTTCCTGTGTCTCCCCCTGTGCTTTTGCCTTCCTTCTTGTCCCAACGTCGAATTATGTGACTGCAGTGTTCACCTATTGTTTATAGGTGCTAATAATTGAAAGATTCTGAGTTCTGTGGCTTATAGTCACTCTTATTTTCTGTACATATATGCTTGTAATTTTGTCCTTAAGTGAGTTTTAGAGTTTATTTGGCCCCTCTGGTATTGGGTTTATGTTATTTTCTTTTTACTATGCCTAGTACAACATTATTATGCTTCATAATTGAGCATTTAATGCCTCTTGATGCTGCTGTTGAGAATCAGAGTATTTGTTTCAACTATACAGGAGGGAGTTTATTAGGATACGCAGTGTATCCAAGTAAAATGGAGTGTGCTATTGATATGATTACTGCATGTCCAGTGTGACTTTATAAAAATAACCTAGCTTCCAGTGTAAATTTAATTGTAAATTCTTCCCTATATGGTTAGCAAATTACATATTAGATTATGAAAGTCTAGTTTTAAAAAATAAAGTTTCATGTTGAGTCCTGTCTTAAAAAGGTAAAGAAACGGTTCCTTTTTCTCTCAGTTCTACTTGAAAAATATCCTTGCTAGTATTTACATGTCAGATAATGCCTGCTATTTATATGTTGAAAAACTAACTTGGTCTCTACTAGAGTTAACTCCAGATAGCAACAGCCCACCTCTGTTGTGGTGGTTTGTTTTTAATAGTGGTTACGCCTGGTTTCCTTTCTCCCATCAGGCAGGAAAATCATTTCTGGTACTTTCTGTGGTGACCTGAGAACAGGGACTTACAACATGAGTCTGATGGGTTTTATTCAGGGCCTTCCTTGTAATCTGAAGTGTGGGTGAACTGTTGTCACATGTGGATGAACCTGTAGGAAGGGTTCTACGCAGTAAGCCTACAGTAAAACCAATAGAATACTCTTCTTTGGGATGGAACAGGAGCATTCTCTTACTCCTTTCTGAATGAGAACCTAACAAGACTGGCAGGTGGTCAAAATGCAGCTTGGGAAGGGGTGCTAAGGCAGCAGAGGGGAGCTGGTGCACGGGGAAGCATGGTAGCCAGATGTCATGGCAGGTGAGTCGCATCCCGACACCACCTTATGCTCCTGCCCTGGTGATGTAGGTACAGGTCAGTAACCCTCCCTCTGCACTCAGTCCTTCCTTTGGTGGTGTTGGGGTTAGAGTCAGTCTTGGAGATCCTTTTCAGATCAGATGTTGTATGATTATTCAAGTAAGTTAGAATTACACTTAGAAATAGTCATTTTCCTGCTTACCTTTTTATTAGACTTAATTTATAATGTATTTCTAGCCATTTGTATGTTAAACTGGCATTTAGAAGACTATAAATAACAAGGTAGAATAAAAAAGAAGCTTTACAACATGTCAGAAAAATCTGAAAAACACAGTATTATAGACATTTAGATAATAAAAGATATAATTAAGGAATTCAAAAGAGATTTTTAGATATATATAATTTAACAGTTACAGTTTCATTCCAAACAAGTACTTTTTTATTCTTTGTATTTTTTTATTTTATTTTATTTTTTTTTAAGATTTTAATCATTTGCGACAGAGATACAGAGAGAGAGAGAGAGAGCATGAGCTGGGGGAGAGACAGAGGGAGAGGGAGAAGCAGGCTCCCTGCTGAGCTAGGAGCCCGACGTGGGGCTCGATCCCAGGACTCCGGGATCACAACCTGAGCCGAAGGCAGATGCCTAACCATCTGAACCACCCAGGTGCCCATGTAATTTTTTAAAAAGATTTTATTTATATGTTTTAGAGAGAGTGAGAGAGATTGAGTCGGGGGGAGGGGAAGAGGGAATCTCAAGCAGACCCCCCTGCTGAGCGCGGAGCCTGACTCGGGGGCCTGATTCCACGACCCCGAGATCATGACCAGTGCCCAAATCATGAGTCGGGCACTAAACTGACTGAGCCACCCAGGTGCCCCTATTCTTTATGATTTTTAAAAGTACATTTTTAACAGGCTTTTCTGTTTTCTGATATCTTGATTTCTGTAACAGCATGTCTTTCTGTCAGATATAGTAAATATGTGACATACGGTAAATAGATTATTTTAGAATGTAGGTATTCTTTAAAAAAATATTTACTTAAGGATCTTAAGGAAGGATCAAGTAGAAGGTATTTTTTGCTGTGGCTGTGCCCTGCCACTTCCTTCACTGACACACCTCTGGCTCTGTTTCCCCTCCTCTGGTGCCCTGTTACACACACTGTCTGCATCTTTAAACTGTTCTCTTACGTAGGAGCATACTTGACTTTCACCCGCTTCCTTTCTGAACTACTTAGTGGAAAAGAGGTTTTGCTCTGTGTTGGCACCTCAGAGACGGGGTGTAGGCAAAGCCTCCTTTATAAAAGCAGTGGCCATTCGTGCTCATGAAAGCGACTGGCTGGTATTTCCATATTTTGTACAGAATTCCCTTGGAAGGCCCTGCCGTTAGTAGCACCCAGTATTCCCCTTGGGCTCCTGTTGTGAAGTGGAGCTATGGTGATTTTTGATTAGCTGGCCCCCACCTTGATTTCAATTAATCAAAAGCCATGAGTGAATAACATTAAGTTTTCTCTCAAGGAAACCCTGAAAGCCATTTCAGGGTCTGCCGTGGAGCCCGCTGGGTCTCAGCCTGACCCTTGCACACTTCACACTCTGTCTTCGTAGCTTTCACTTTTGGGCTCTCCCGGCAGAAGTTTGTCATGTGTTACGAGCCTGACACGTTGATAGGGTGTCTGTCATCAAATAATTAGATTATCCTTACTCTGTGTTCCTCAGGAGGACAGGAGAGATGACTCTCATGTTTTAGGCAGATTTTCAAGAAGCACTGAGATGTCCATCTTTTTAAACAGAATGTTAAATCCTCGAACATGCAGGTTAATTAAGTTATTTGGGAATTCTTGTATCCATTTCAGTTAAAGCTTTTAGCAAAGCAAAGGGTATTTGAACCGCGGGACAGACATTTCTTCTGCAGTAAAAGTCTATCTTAGCGGGTTTTTCTTTTTAAATCAGACACAAGCATCGTTGGTTCATAAGTGGGCTTCAGGGTTTTATTGTGACTAGATAGTGATGAAATGGCCCAGTTAGGTGTACTATTCATGCCTCCTGTCATGAGTACAAACGACTGCAGACCGAAATGCTGGTTCTGTAGCCACTATACGTGGTTTTTCCACTTGTAAACATTTTTAGTGCATGCATGCATTTTTCTTAAAAAAAATAAATTGTGTAAATATTGTGTTATTAGAAGGAAGCCTTCTCACTATTTTATCCTTAAGCATAACATTTCCAGTCTGCCACTTTAACCCTTAAAAATGAAACATTACCCATCAATCTTTCTAGTCTGCATGTAATTGCCTAAAGCTAAAAGAAAGCTTTTCCTCAGCCAGTTACAGTAGAAATGAGTTAATATATTGGCAGCAGAATAACCATCAGCAATCAGCCGTTAGCTGTTTACTAATGAACTCCCAGATGAATGAAAAAAATTTCAGAATCAGTGTTTTACTTCAGGCTGTACATGAACTTAACACTTGAGTTGTAGGAAAAGCAACTTACATGCTGTACAAAGAAATACCAGTGCTTTATCTCAATAAACTGTAGATCTGAAAAATGTCTGGAGCTCAGTAATACATCCAGGTTTTAAGAGTAAAGGTGCTTTTGCATGGCATCAGGTGAAGCCTATTCTTGCAATTAATCTTATACTGAATTTTATGATTTGATTTTATTTCAAAATGCTGATGCCGTGAAATCCTGCAGGAATTTTGCACCTGAAGAATAGGTCATTTTCCAGTGAATCATGACTGTGTTTGAAAAGAAGGATGGAATGTGAGAGTGGAGTGGTACAAAGTATTGAAAAACAATTGGGAAGAATTAGCTTATGGGAAGAAAAATATCCTCTTTTCAGACAAGACTAATAGATTTATAAAAGACTGATATTCACACTCTTACACTTCATTACTAATGTCGTAATCAGAAAATGATGTCAAAAAAGTACAGGACAAAAATGTGTCACAAAAGTATAATAAAATCATGGAACATGAGATTGTCACTACAGTGCAGTAAAAAAAATCACATTACATACTTTAGGGAATGTAAATAGTTTTAAAAAAGAGACTGTCAAGTTACGGTACCAGATGAGAAAGAACACTGTCAGTCTCTTGACAGTGCCTATATAACAACAGAGAAGACAGCTTTGAAATTCAATGTACCAGTTTCGACTGAAAGAACACATTCCTCCTTGACTTTTAATTTATTCTATTAGAGATGGCAAAAGACGGAGAAGTGCTAGACCGAGCGCACAGACCTGATAGAAGGCAACAGAAACCAAACAGTCGGGTTTCCAGTCTGTGTGCGCAAGGAGTGGCTGATGATGGCCGCTGTGGGGCTTTTCCTCCATCCAGTGGTGATTCTTAGAGATTCACAGACAGCAGAGCTGGGAGGGACTGTCTGGGGCATCCGGGTCAGTCCCCTGATGGATGGGGAAGTGCAGGGAGGGGAGGGGGCCTGTCCAGGGCTCAACTGTTCGTCTCCGGGCTGGATGGCGCAGGTGCCAGGGCTTTCTGGCCAGCATTGTTTCTCCTACAAGAAAAAATGTGCCTAGTATTAAGAGGAACATTGATAAATATACACAGACTTTTTTAGACTCACGAGTGTGCTAAATGCTAAGCCGTACTTGAACGCGTGGTATAGCCCAACGCCAGATAAGGGGTTTTTGGAATTTGTTTTCTCTTTACGTGCTGTGTAGGTGTACTGAGTAGGTCACGGGCGAAACAGAGGCAGACTCTACGGTCAGTAGCTAATGCGTGCTGTGAAGGAATATGAAATCACGGCTATGAGAGAGAAGCTAAGTTCTTGATTTTCCTTTTCTTACGCAGGTTTCAGCAAGCAGATGGTGGAAATCCTTAACAAACATAGTATTCAGTTTGGCAGTTTTGATGTCTTCTCCGACGCAGAAGTTCGTCAGGGCCTCAAAACCTACTCCAACTGGCCCACCTACCCCCAGCTCTATGTTTCTGGAGAGCTCATAGGAGGACTTGACATAATTAAGGTTAGAACTGAGAAGTCTGCGCCTTCTAAAGAATTTTCATTTAGAACACACTTTTCTAAGTACAGTAATGAATCTAGAGTATAAATTCCTTAAGAATCTCTGCATTTACAAAAATGAACCTGGAATATATATGAAGTATTTCTGATGAGATGCTCGATACTCTGTAATACCATACAACCAAGGAGATTTATGTTGTGAATATTTTTTGTGTGTGTGTGATGCAGTGTTCCATGATTCATTGTTTGTGCATACCACCCAGGGCTCCACGCAGAACGGGCCCTCTTTAATACCCATCACCAGGCTAGCCCATCCCCCCACCCCCTCCCCTCTAGAACCCTCAGTTTGTTTTTCAGAGTCCATCATCTCTCCTGGTTCGTCTCCTCCTCCGACTTACTCCCCTTCATTCTTCCTCTCCTGCCATCTTCTTCTTCCTCTTTTTTTTCTTAACATATATTGCATTATTTGTTTCAGAGGTACAGATCTGTGATTCAACAGTCTTGCACAATTCACAGTGCTCACCATAGCACATACCCTCCCCAATGTCTATCACCCAGCCACCCCATCCCTCTCAACCCCCCACCACTCCAGCAACCCTCAGTTTGTTTCCTGAGATTAAGAATTCCTCATATCAGTGAGGTCATATGATACATGTCTTTCTCTGATTGATTTATTTTATGTTGTCAATATTTTCTTAAACTTACATACGTGTTGATTTCAGGAGCTTGAAGCATCTGATGAACTAGATACAATTTGCCCTAAAGCTCCCAAATTAGAGGAAAGGTAAGTGTTTTTAAAAGTTTCAAATCGTCTACCATTTAGTACCTTAAAAATATTTAATTCTTGGTTTTTGCATTACTCTTTCCATATAGAAATCAGGGATTTGTTTTTGTGTGCCAAGGTCATAATTGTGTTGTTTGCAGTCAGATTAGCCATGCAAACTTGGGAAGGTCTCATTTGCACTGGGGAAGTTTTTACACCAAATTAATGATTACGTGGAGGATATTCTTTGTTTTTATAGAAATATCATTTTCTCAGTGGCATGACTCAGTTTTACTCTTTCTCTCTGTTTCTGAGCCGGGATCCAGCAGTCCTGGTCCTCAAGTAGCAGTTCCTGCTCGGCATTGTCAGAACACTGAGCGTGAGGGGTGCCTCGGGTGAGGAGTGCAGGCTGTGTGTGTGGTATATGTGTAAACACTTCGGGCTATCACACTGCTTTTCTAATCACGGTAACTTAGAATTCAAGGAGATTTTGGAGCTGTAAAATTGGTCTTTGTTTTACGAAGGATCTCAATCAGCTTTTAAAGATTTTATCTTATGGAAATTTTGGACTTTGGTCTGTAGGGAGGCTTAAAGGGATTTTTATTGTAATAAATTTGAATTAATGTAGAGGTTTAAAGAATTTATTTTGAAATACATCAGCGTATCAGCCTTTCGTAGTTGGGGCTTGAGTCTGTGAGGTGAAACTTTCTCTTGTAATTTTCCTTGCTATTCAGCATTTTGAGAATTTCTAAGATTGTTTAATAATAAACACCTCATTTATCTGTCCTTGATTAATAAATAGTATCCCATATATGTCCAACTCACGTGTAAGTGCCACATTTTCTCAAATGATTTGTACCCTTTCCTGCCTTTTTGATAGGACAGTGATGCTCCTAGTCCCTTGTGACTCTGCGCCTCCAGTTGCGTTCTTGGGGGAGGGGTAGAGGGAGAGAGAATCTCATGCAGGCTGTGCACTGAATGGAGAGCCTGATGCGGGGCTCGATCTCACGACCCTGAGATCATGACCTGAGCCGAAATTAAGAGTCAGATGCTCAACCAACTGAGCCGCCCAGGCGTGCCCCCAGTTGCATTCTTTGCTGTATCCCCTGGGTGGCTCATGGAGGCCGTGCGGCCTCCAAAGTCCTCTGTGCTTGGTGTGTGCTTGCATCTGCTTTCAGTCCATTTTTCTCTGTTGAATACACTCTTGCTATCGTTTGTGTCCCTGTCTTCATCACATCTGCTCTCTCCTTCCTAGTGTGCTGTGTCTATTTCCTGTGGCCTCAGACACCACAATTTAACTGGCTAGTTACAGAGAGATTCTGTAGAGATCTATATTCATTGTATTTTGAGTGATCCTTTAAAGTGCTGCCAGAGTGCAGAGAGCCAGAGCCTGAGTTCCGGGTCTGGCGATGTCTCTGCATGTGGGACGGAGGGACATATCTGGGTTTCCTGGATCCAGATTGTTGGGTTACTGTAGGTGATGGATGATGATCAGCACCACATTCTTCTTTTTCTGAGAATCAGCCCAGCGTCCTCTCTCTGAAGTGGACAGGACTTAGCTGTGAGCATGAGTTGTGTGTTTCATTTGTGATAACTTTGTTCTCTGAGGAGGTGTTGAGCTGTGAGTGACGCAGAGCACCAGTGGGAGGAGGATCCGGTGATGTGACCACCATGGGGCTCAGAGGGTCTTCAGCCCATTCTCATGACACAGACTGTTCTGAGATGGGTGACTGGACCTTAGGCTAGACACAGACGGCGGGTGCCCTTGACAGCAAGTGAGAGCACGGGGTGTGAAATCTTGCAGAAAGTGGGAGACAAAGTTAGGATGGGAGCGTTTGATTTGAGCAGCTGCTGGTGGCTGGTGTTGCAGCCCTGAGCACTTCCCCTCCCAGAGTGACCTTGTGGACGCCAGGGAGTGTGGAGCTGTGTGTGGCCTCGTGGTGGAGAAGGGAGCACACGAGATCTGGTTTTGGAAATTGTGGGTGGGCTCCCTAGACAGGCCCCTTCTTGAACAATTCCTTACTGAGTTAGTTATTATTATTTTTTTAGTGCTGTGAGTTGATGGGCTTGAATTGCAACTCGAAGGAACATTCATTGCCTTAAAAGCCATATTGTGTTTTATGGTGGCTCAGGGAGGGAATGAAATAAAGGAAAATGTCAATGCATTTGCTTGTTTAATGCCACTCAGAGCTGTGAACTATCATCCTGCTATCCCTCAAATATGCATGTTACTCCTGAAGCGGAGCAAAAGTGGTGTTTAATAATTGAGCTGAGCCATTTTATATCAATTTTCTCTCTTTAGGCTCAAAGTACTGACAAATAAAGCTTCTGTGATGCTCTTTATGAAAGGAAACAAACAGGTAAAGAACTCAAAAATGGTTTTATTTGTAATTTCTTTTGATGTTAACATCTGCAACAAGGGGACACTTAAATCTTTTTTCCTAGCTGTGGCTAATGAAGCTGTAGTGGCATCAGGAAGTTATCCAGGCCTTAATTGGTGCTTATGGAGATCAAACAAAGTAATCTGCATTTTGCTTGACTTTATCATCAGCATCTCAGTGGGGTGCATTTCTTTCTGCTGCCAAACTTGGTCAACACTGTTCACTCTGTCCTGGTTCTGTAAGTTGCTGTCCTGGCACCATTCCAGGCTGTTGGGTTCCTGTAGTGGGCAGCTTGGTCCAGATACTTCCCGAGTACAGGGAGCCTCGAAGCTCTTGGGGTGTGCAGCCCTAGATCACCCTTTAAGAAGTCAGCAATGGAGAAATAAACCCCACAGCATTGTGTGTGGTCAGTACCGTTTGATGAATGGTGAAATAGTTTGGCAGTTCTTATTTATAATGGGATGGTTCCTGTAGCTTTTTGGTTGAAGGTACATATTGGTTGGGCATCATTTTGAATATCAAGTTTGATAGATCACTCCCTCCAACAGCTTGAGCAAAACTGATGACCATTTATATTTGGACCAGAACAGAGATCTCTAGACACGGGGTTCTCTTACCTTTCTTTATTCTCAGCCAGTTACGGAGGTGGGCACGGGGGGACAGTGTGGTCTGTTTGGGAGCAGGGGAGGCTAAAGCCCTGAGAGGTGAGGCTGATGGAATGGAGATGACCATTTACGTTCCCCCGGGCCCTGGCGCTGCCCAGGCCTGTGGGCCGCCTGCTTGACCTCCCTGGCTTCACTGCCCCATGTGTGAATGGACGGTGCGCCTCATGAGTCATTGAGAATGAGGTTGCGATAACTAGTGTGAGAGTTAATATAACTGATACAGTGAAACCAACTAGTTCACATAACTAGTCAGTGTAACTGCTGTAGTGAAGGTGATGACTAGGGAGCTGGGAATAAAGGGTTCAGCATATGGGGGTCACTAGGTTAGGGCCTAGATTCTTTGGCTCACTAATTTTATTAAAACAAAATAGAGGAATTAATACTTCTTAGGATAAAGTTATCTGTTTATGTTTTCTTGGTGATTATTTAAAGCAGATTTTTATTCTCAAAACACAGTTTTTTCTGGAAGCCCAGCCAGTATTGATACGTCTTGGGAGCAGAATCATGTGTGCTGTTAAGAAGTTCGTGTGGTGCCTGGTCTTTTCCCATGGGATTGCTGAGATTTGGGGCCTGACAAAAATGTGTCAGTGCCATAACCTCCAAAAAAAAGTCAGTGCTCTGTAATGTAAAGATAAATTTTAAAAAATGGGAGTGACTGTTTAGTTGGGAACAGGAAGATGTGATCCCAATCCTTGCAAAAAGGTTAGGTGAGTTGAGGTCATCTGTGAGAGTGAAATGGAGAAGGAACTGAACTCTGTGGAGCGTCGAGGTTCCACTCAGAGGAACGTTTGACCATAGAGCTTGTCAGGTTCCAGGACAGGTGTCCTCTCTGGTGGTCAGAGCCTGAAGTGCACTGTGGCGGGTCCGTGCCATCCTGGTGAGCGATGTTCCATGGGACCATGCCGGGAGCCTGTGTAGAAAATGTAATACATCTTTACTCATTTCTTTTTTTCTTTTTATAAATTTAGGAAGCAAAATGTGGATTCAGCAAACAAATTCTGGAAATACTAAATAATACTGGGTACGTAAATCCTGATTTCAAATGGTGTGTTTAAGAAATTCCAACTCTTCGGTTCTGCCACTGATGCCTGTCAGTTGTTACATCTAAATCCATATATTTTTATTTATTTTTGCTACAGTGTTTTGTGAATGCTTTAACTGAGACCACAATAGGATTTTCTGGCCAGTGTCAACCGATCGGTAACATAAAGGAGCTTCTTAGAAGGCGATCATTAAAATAACTATTTGTCTACTTTCCCAGAAGAAAGTCCTTAACTGAGATGCGTTAAGATATTTTAAGGAAAGTGTATCAGAGGCTTTTAATTTTCCTTACAAAAATATTCTCATTTCTAAACAGTTTATGAAATGGCTAGAGCACATGTGGAGGTCGTTATGTGCATCTGAGAAGTGGGGGAAATTAAATGGCTGTGTTCATGCTTTTGATCTGCTCAGCGGCGACGCTGCCAGCTAAGAAAACTGCGTTGATTTTTCTGGTTAAAAACAAAACCACTTGTTTGGAGATACTTCACCCATGTTCTGTAGAGTTTATCAAATGTTTTGGCTTTTTTTTTTTTTCTTATTTCTTATCTCACCATAGCTTCTTTTTAATATTATAAGTATCCTAGCTGTAGCTTAAAAAAGATTAATGAAACCTATGCAGTTATGGGGAAGGTAATCTTTGAAATATTTAGATATTTATGGGCAGGGTTGAAAGTAGTTGAGTAGCACATGTTAAATACAACTCTAGGGACATAAAAAGCAAAATGATTGATTTCAAAAGCAGATGTGACATTTTACAGAGGAGAGTCTATAGAGTCTTCTGTAGTCTGGTCTCCTGCCTGCCCCTTGCTCACCCTGCCCGAGGATGTTGGGGAGGCCGGCTTGGTTCTGGTCGTCAGCTTTTACGGCCCCCTTTCCCCATCTTCCCTCTGTCACAGCTCCCTGGCGTGGTACGCTCAGTCTGCCTGTCCCTCGTGACAGTGTGTCCCTCTGCAAGCTTGTGAGGCCAGAACAGCGCAGCATTGGGCTGTCTCAGCCCATGTGTTTGGTGGAAGGTCTCCATAATGTTGCTTTCTGCCCCCATCTGTCTAATGCTGTTTGGATTTGCAAGTCCCGGTTATCCCAGAGCAGAGGGGCTTCTTTGGAGATGGAGCCCTCTCAGCTGCAGACTTGCGCTGAGCAGGACTCTTTAGCTTGAACAGACTGTGATCTTGCTGAGAGCCATCAGTCTGTGGAGAAAAAACTGCTGGCTTTGTATTCCTGCCCCTCCACTTTTACACTTTCCTTCACTGGTCTAGCGACACATGCCTCGAGGGGCTGTGTGCCAAGTGTCCATTGAGGTGTGAATGGCCAACGCATCTCTTTACAAGAACTGTTCAGAGATGCATTGGCCATCGTGACTACATGCACACACCTACATATACTCAGGCCCAGGACGTCCTAGGTCCCTCATAGATGGCTCTGTAACTTATTATTTTTATCACACTGTTCTGATTAGGATCTGCTTCCTTTAGCTCACCTTGAAGGGAGACTTCCATTGGGTCTTTTTTTTTTTTTTAATATTTTTTTTTTCTCTTTCAGACATTGCTTTTTGGTAGTTGGTGATTTATCCTGTCATCTTATTTTTTTTGACTGTTTTCTGCACCATGGACAATTTTCTTGGAAACTTGTTTACTAAGTGAATAAGATTTCCCTATGAAGGTGGTTTTGGTTTTATGAAAACTGAAATTTATTTTTTACATGTGGCATTTTCTTTGGCCAGTTTTTGGGACTTTACCTATTCCACAGTCTCCCTGTGGGAATCAGTCTGACATTCATACTAAGTCCTTGATCACACCTGATAGTGACATCCTTCCGAGTACATGTGGTGGTTCGGTTTCCATGCAGTGATTTTGCATTCATTATACAAATGGTGTTCATTATGCAGCATGAAGCCACACCACTCTCACTGGTTTATGCATATTGAGAACAGCACGTGTGCTCTGAAATCAGCTTGTTTTCATGTGGGGGGGAAGCACAGCTCCGTAAGGTGGCGTTTGTTGGCAGTGTAGTTGTCCTGCTAGCAAGCCTCCGGTCCAGCTGTGGGTGTCCCTGGGTGTCCCTGGGTGTCCCTGGGCCTCAGAGCTGCTCCTTCCTGCTCCCTGAGCAGCTTCTAGTAGGTCAGAGGCAGCAGCCCCAGGGATGAGGGCTGGAAACGCAGTATTAAGGACAGACTTAGGTGAACTTTGGATACAAGTCTAATCTGCGGGTTGGCACACTGCAGTTGGCCGCCGACTTCTGTAAATGAAGTTTTATTGGTGCACAGCCACACCCCCTCATGTCTGCCTTGTTAGGCTCCTTCTGTGCTGTGCAGCTGGGTAGAGCATCTGCAGCAGACCGTGGCCTACAGAGCCCACATGTTGACTGTCTTGCCCTTTGAGACAAAGTGTGATGACCCCTCTCTAACCCAATATTGTCTAGAGAAAAATCCAGATAAATTTGTATCTTGGGCTGACTTGTTCTGTGGGGTACCTGACAGATTGAAAAGTAAAGTCATTTCCATTTTTCATCATAAATGTCAGTAGCAACAAAACTGTTAACTTTTCTTGACTGTTTTTAAAACACAAAGTAGGTTTTACAATTTTTTGTTTAATAAAACTATTTCCTATTAAAATGTTTTCTCCTTTTTGTAGTGTTGAATACGAGACATTTGATATATTGGAGGATGAAGAAGTAAGTTCTGTATTTTATGTTTCTCGTCGTTTGCTTTAGTTTTACTCATTAGGGTCTTGTAGTAAGGTTTCAGAGTTCCTGTTGTTTCCGTAGGTTCGGCAGGGGTTAAAAACTTATTCAAATTGGCCCACGTACCCTCAGCTGTATGTGAAAGGGGAGCTCGTTGGAGGTCTGGATATTGTTAAGGTAAGGTTGGAGTTCATCTGGTATCCTAAAGACGGAAAATGTTGGCATGTTCGAAAATCATCATTTTATACTGAACAGTAACTATGGGGCTTCTTTGAGTGGCCTCCTGTCTAGTCACCTCTGACCTTGTGTTGCCATTTCTGTGTCCATAGTACCGTGTCCTCTCACTGCCCCTGGTGGATCAGATTGTTCTCTGCCCTTCCCTGAGCCAGTCAGATCATCCCCCTACTGTGGGGCCTTCTGCACGACCTCCTTCATCTCCGGAGGGACTGCCCGCTAAGGGCCAAACTGTCACTTGGCATTCTGAGATGCTCTGATTATGGCCAAGCTCAAAATTTGATTTTTACTCCCACTTTGCTAAGTCTTCCTTGTTTTTAGCTTTTCTTTTTCTCATCCGTTCTGCTTTGGATAGCTGGCATGTTCCATACTTAACATGTTTTCTGCTTCCTTCGGGGCCCCTCTTGTTTCTGAATCGTTTATAGAAATGTTTTACTCCTGCTCCTGAAGTTATTCTGTCCTTTTATATTTATTTTGTATTATTTCTCGTGTTCTGTGATTTTGCCTGTGTGCACTTGCGTGGTGGAGTGGAGAGGACCAGGCCGGGGGCAGGCCTGACACCCAGTGCTGCCTGGCCTGCCAGCTGTGTGACAGATCTGAGCCCACGGTCCCCGGTCCCCAGAACAGAGGGAGACTGCGGGGGGCCATCTCCAGGTCCACCTCTGGTCTCAGATGCTGCAGCTTGGTTAGGTCTGTCAGGTTGTAAGCATGTTTGGAGAATACATCTTTGATGATTAACTTCTTTGGTTTACTTTCCATAAACTCTCAGGGAATTTTCAGCGGGCATGACTTTTCTCCAGGCACACCCGCCCAATAGCACCATGGTTCTCTTTCTTAGCCACTCCCTCCAAGCTTCCAGCCCAGCCAGGCACCCTGGTGTTGGAGGAGGGGGGCAGTGGGCGGGGCCAGGACGGGGCCTAAGGAGGAACGTCAGGCTCCACTCGGGAAGCACGGGCCTCCATGGAAGGTGGGGCTGCTCCAATGTCCAGTGCTCGGGCCGGCCTTCCTCTTGCCTTGCTGCTTGGAGAACTTTCTCTCTGGGCACGTTTGACTTCATAAGTGGAAAGCAAGTAGTAAGTAGCACTGCTTCTAGTTATGTTTTAAAGTAAGTTTTAGCTCCTATTTTCATATCGTGAGAGGACTCAAGCCCAGTGCTGAGTGACCCCAGCTCTGTGGGCTGGTCGTCTCGTCAGCACTGGCATGAGTGCCCTTCCCTGCAGAGGCTGCTCATTGGCTGTTCCCCCACGCAGCTCTTAGCTGCCGCAGCGTTCCCTGTTTGACTTCACACTTCTCAGGACACGGAGAGGCAGTTTTCCTTGTAAAGTGTCTCATTCCTTGAGGAGAAAACAAGGTTTCACATAGTAGCTCTTGAATAGCCCGGAAGTAACAAAAATACATCTGCATTTGTTACGTTATATATACTTTTTATTTGTTTAAGACCCAGACAGTCTTCAAAGCCCAAACACTCCTGAGCCTGTATTGTGTGAGTGTTTTATAGCCTGTACCTGAGCCATCGCTAACTCTGGAGAAGGTAACAATCAATCAGTCTCATTTAATTCTAAAGCTGAGCTTCCCGGGCAACTTCGTTGTAGGTCTGTAACGGGATGTTAGAGGACTCTTCTTGTTCACCTGCTAAAAACACGCATTTGGAAAGGTGTGATGCTGGTAACGTTTTCCCCCAAGAAGATAGCCGGGGACAGTTAGGTTGCCACTTTGGTCTGTTTCCTGCAGAGTTCAGTTCTTCATCTTTAGTTCACTGGAAACATCAGTGATGTTCCACTTGGGTTAATTCTGGCTGGCCTTTAAGATCACTGAGAGCCTTTTTTGTTGAATGGTTGAATAAAGAAGTTACCCAATGATTCAACAACTGAGTCAGTCTAGTGAGCTAAGAACGGCAGCTAATTTGTAGTAGTCAGTGCCTGCTTCAACCCTGCAGATTGTTTGTTCAGAGAGTGGCAATGTTTAGATCAGGTCGGCTCATGCTAGTGCTGGTGACGAGGGTCCCACCATGGGCCGGCCATGCTGCCCCTGTGCTTAGGCCATCCTCACAGCGCCCTGAGATGAGGGGACACCGATGGAGAGAAGTCAGGTGAGCCGTCTGTGACGCCACAACTAGGAAAGCTGTGGCGCCCGGATGCCACCTGCGGGCTGCCGGGCCTCACCATGAGCCGCATGGCCTCCTGCCCTCCCGGTCATGCGTCAGAAAAGTCCTGCCTGCTCCTTTTGTGCGTCGGATGTCTGCTTGTTAGCGGATCGGTGGTAGGAGATCCCAAGACGTCACTGAGCGTTGTCTGAGTTTGTATGACGGGATCACACCTGTTAGGGTTTAACCAGAGAGGCGGTGAAATGGATTTCAGTGGTTTTATTAATTGATGTTCATGCTGCTTAGTAATAACCTGAAAACTAACATCAAATTAAATGTTTATCTCAAACTAGAAAATCTCAGTTATCATTCGTTGTCACCTTTTAAATTTGATAGCTGTGTTCCAAATTTTAAATTTGAAAGATAGGAGAAAATATTTCTGGATTTTTATGTGTTTTTAGAGGTTTTTGGCCTTTCCGTGTACACTTTGTACTAGTACTGTGGCCTTCCCAGGCTGGGTTGAAATTGTGATCCCGTGTGCTGCCTGTGGGGCTGCGGCTGTCATGTGCATCGCACTTGTGTGGACTCGAACAGCACGTTGCTGCTTTTTTCCACATTTGTGTTTGCATGTTACTCACAGTTCTCCCCCCTATTTATTGCTGTTTAGATAGGAGGCTCTAATTGTTGAGTGCGTTAATGCTGAACAGTCTTGGTTTCTGAATGCCTTTTAACTTCAATTTTGTAATCTGATAGTGCACTCAGTTTTTATGGTGTGATATTTGGTTTCAGTGTATTGGTAGACTGGAGTTTTATTCCAGTCTAGTATTTCTTCTGGTTCTTGGATTCGGGTGCAATCTGGGATGGTTCGGAGGTTTCCATTTTTCATCTCTATGCATACATGTTATTTTTGCTTTCTGTTTTTGTTGTTAGGAACTGAGAGACAATGGTGAGCTGCTGCCAGTGCTGAAAGGAGGGAACTAGGGACTGTTACGCTTGGTGCCTGACTGCTGCAGGAAACCTTCATCACGGCGGGGCCGCTCACGACTCCGTTCTCAGACTGCTGCGCACCCAGTTAGGCTCGGTGTATCCCACCAGCTCGTGCTAAATACATGTATGTTTTGTTTGTTTTTCATCAAACCAGAATGCAATAAACATCTTCAAATCCAATTAAAAATACTCATGTAAAACTCTTTTTTATAGTGATGTTGAATATATAGTAATTAACCTACTTTAAATTTCTTTCTCATACTCTGTGGGCACCTTGTAGCAGCTAAGAAATAGGCAGGCTTCAGAAGATGCAGAAGGTTGATGGCGTCTGAAATCCACAATCATATTTAGAACAGCTCATATACCAAACCAGTGGCTCCCCTCAATGGCCAAAGATCTCTTTACAGCTTGGAAAAATTCAACTGAAAATGTGTTTCTGACCGCATCCCTGCGCGTGGCTTTGGTGAGATTGCAGAGGCGACCTAGGGCTCAGCAGATTCAGAGACTCGTTTCAGAAGGTACCAGGGGCGTGTTAGCAAGCGGCAGCTCAGAGGAAGATGGGCTCTCCTGAGTGTGTTCCTGCCCTCACGCCCTTCACGACGGAGCAGAACCAGGCATGAGGGTGCTGTCAGTGTGTGTTATGCACCACAATTTATTTTAATCATTCTATCGAAAGCACTGATTTAGCTCTTACATAGGCTGAGAACATCCTGAGGTCCATGAAAATTTCAGTAGTAGTTTTGATCCCGAATCTCACACGTTTAAAAAATAGTTGCCCCATTAGGCCTTTGTTGGGTGCACTTTAAGCCTGTGGCTGAATTCGCCTCCACAGTTCTTAGACTTCAGTGCCCATGACACATGTTCCCCTCGTCAGGTTCTCCCAGCTTGTTGTTCTGGGTGGTTGAGGCTCCACAGAAGTGTCTGGCAGTAGAGTAAGGAAAGGGGTGCAAAAGTCAGCAGTTTCCATGAGAAACCAGAGGGACGTTAGCCTCTCACCGGGGCTCGAGCACCCGGCTGTCCCCTTGCTTCGTTTGATTGTGTGCAGGAGGGTGCTGACTTCTGTTGTGTATATGTGACCAAGGGCAGTCTGCACAAAACCTGAAAGCTGACATGGCCTCATGCTTCCTGTAGTAGGAGGACACCTGTCGTGGGTGGGGGGCTTTCCTTGCCAGTGTGTGTAATTAGATGGGTCTCTTTTGGGCACTGGTCCGTGAATTTCTTTTTTCCATTTAAAACAAATCATTGCATAAGTGAAACCTTTAAAATGTAGATGGAAATGGAATCATAACAAACTCTAGTAAGTCATTGATGGATGCCGTGAACCACAGAGGAGGAGTGCCTAATTTTCTTGTATCCTGTGTCCCACACTGAAATCGTTGCATCCTGCTTTCGTGATTTGCTCTCTCTCCAAGTGTGACCTGTCAACAAGCCAGCTTTTAGCTTCACCTTACCCTAAGCAACAGTATCTTTATCATTGCAGATTTGATAAATTAGTTTTTTTCCTTATGCACATTTAAATAAACACAATGCATACATTTTAACAAGTGCCCATCTTGCCCATCTCCAATTTGGGAACTACTGGTCTAGGGTGGTGGTTCTGATAACGTAAATGCTCGCACATTATAGGATGGCTTTCCC